GGTTGGAAAAGTGGGGGTCGTCTTGTACATGGGGGCGTCTTATTGACAGAAAAATACGGTAAGTATCAGCTATCCAGACTGAACCTGGGTTTGGCCTCAATGCTATGCTGATCCGAAAGGAAGCTGGGTTGCTGAAGAGAGCAGTTCTGGAGAATTTGGGGCCCTTGACATGGCACCATCCTAGCCCCGGGGCAGCACAGAAAGAGGGAGCAAATAAATGGCCGGGTAGGTAGACTTCAGGGACTGTTGTTAAGATGCCCTGCTTTTTCTCATCAATTACCATAATGAAGTTTTGATTGGATCTGACTCTCAGTTCCTCAGGAGAGGGTGAAGTCAAGAAAGGGGAAGTCTAGTCTAGGAGGGATGCAAGCACTCAATGCATGGGGGCATTTTGGAGCTATCCAAAGTCCTGAAGGCCAGCCTTGCCCTGCCCTGCCCTGCCCTGGCCTGTGCTGCCCAACTCCATAAGGCATCCCATATACTGCTTAGGCAAGAGAAATCATTGGCACTGAATCTGAGTTCAGGCGCAAGCGAACACATTCCCAGCTGATTTTTGCCGTCGCCACCTCTTCTTGCACTTTCCCTGAGCAGGCCTAGGGCAGAGAGTCAGCAACCCAAGATGGAAGAGCTGTAGCAAAGGCTGATTGCGTTTCCCGCTGGCTTCTCTTACCTCTACCCCTACACACTTTGCCTTGCTCCACAACAGATCAGTTTTGCTACTGGTATCAGTAAACCTCACTCAGGTTTCCTGTGGTTTCTCGCTCCTGGTTAAGAGAGGATGTTCTACTTGTAGACCACAGCTCAGTTAAATGTTAGTCCTTTCTTAAGCCTTCCCCTGTCATATCCAGGAAATATTAGCACCCTTCCTCATTGCTTACTTGGTTCTGGCCTGATCTACGCTGGATGAACGGCGGTACCCCTCACGCCGAGCCACCTCCTTGGGAGACACTTTGGTGCTGGTATCGGAGTCCCCACTGTCATCATCTCCCATGGCCTTGATATAGCTGCCACTCCGCATCCGTCGACAGGGGATCTCACCATCCTTCCCCGATGCTGGGTATCCTCCCCAATCATCCTGCGGCACCTGAAGGAAGAAGAGACTTTGTACAGGAAGAGCACATGATATGTTGGGATCAGAAGGAAGGTACATGGGAGGTCTCGGCTTTGCTTAATGCAGACTTTATGGAGTGTAGTTACAATACTGAACTGAGCAACTGAGGCTCACTGTTCCTTTTGTACCAACCTACTAAAAAAAAAAATCTCCATCTATGCACTAAATCCCATCCTTTAACTACCACGTTGATCTTAGCTCCTTTTTGACTGTAAGAGCTGTCAATCAGTGGAACAGGTTATCCATGGAATGGTTTCTTTCCCTTCACCGGGGGTTTTCAAACAGAGGCTGGATGGGGATGGTGTAGACAATCCTGCAATGTGCAGGATTTGATGCCCTCTTAGATCCCTTCCAACTCTATGACTCTATGATTCCTCTCCAGTACTTCTTGTCACCTGAATCATCTCTGATGGTTCTAATGAGCACCAGCTTGTCCCACCAACATCCTTAATCCTGTTTTTTAAATACCAGCTCAGGTGTCATGGCTTCCCCTGAGAGAAGCTCAGGGATGGGCCTTGAGTGCCCTCAAAACTACCATTCCCAAGAGCCCTTTGTGAGAAGTCATGACTGCTGGCATGCTTTCAGCTTCTCAGCACATATAGGCTGATTTGGCCATTCCCTCGAATGCTGATGAACCAAGAACATTGCAGCGAAAGCTGTTCCCACCATCTTTCTTTTTCTTGGCCCTCCAACCAACAAATGAACATTAAATGTCAAAAATGAAAACCAAGACCTTAACATTGGGGGGAAGGTGTCTTAAAAATCTTTCCATTCAGACCATCAAAGTGAAGCAGGGTAAGAATGCTTCATTGCCCACCAAAATACTACCAGGAAGGAACAGTTTTTTGGGTGGAGAAAATGTTCTTATTGGCCAGCAGCAAGACCCTGTTTTTTCTCCCCCGAGACTGGAAGTTGTTTCAAGGTGCCACATAAGATACCTCTGATAGATGGTCTCATGCAGTGGTGTACTTAGCAAATGTGACACCCAGAGTAGATCAGAGGACTAAGCAGCAGCTGCAGGATCCAGGGTGGCCAACTACATCACCACCACTGACACCCTGCCCTCCTCCATCTCTGTTTCTGTGCTGCACCACCAACTGCCAACAACTGATTGGCATGCCAGCAGTAGTGATCTGACTTCACATCTACCACCATCTGGATATCCTCCTTGTGGTCTTCAGCAGTAAGAGTCTCTTGCCAGGTGCACCTTATCTCCAAATCACCAAAAGGCACAACTTTTAGTCACTTTGGTTTTTAGACTCTCTACAGACAATACACCCCCTAATTGCATACACTTGGATGGACTGCTCCCACTGCCCTGTCCTTGGTATGCCAAAGGTCTCATGTTACCAGCAGGATCAGACAGGAGGAGGCTTGACATGGGCAGTAACATGCTCTCAATAGGATCCACTTGACAGCCACGGAGTTGCTACATTCTGCATTATGGACAGTTTCTGAATACTTGTTGGACTTTAATGAACCAGGATAGGGAAAGTATTGACACCTTTGAACTTTGGGGTGGAGAAGACACCTGAGAATACCATGGACAGCCAAGAAAGCAAACCGATGGATCATTGGACAAATCAACCCAGAGTTCTCACTCAAGGCACAAATGACCAGGCTCAAATTATCCTACTTTGGCCACATTATGAGAAGATCCAGCTCTCTGGAGAAAGCTCTGATGCTGGGAAAGGTGGAAGGAAAGAGAAGAAGAGGATGATCAGCAGTAAGGTGGATGGACTCAGTTACAGTGGTGATGTGTGCACCATTGGGAGACTTGAAAGAACAGGTTAGGGATAGATCATCATGGAGAAAATCTATCTATGTGGTTGCTAGGAGCTGAAAACAACTTGATGGCACATAAGCAATCAATCAATCTGAATACTTGTCAGAGGGAACCCATGGAAATTCTGCTGCAGTTACTGAATAGGAAACTGACATAAGGGAAACACCACTTGATTCAGACTAGGTTTTTCAAGAAAAGGTGCACCACCTGAAGCAGCAGATGCTTCAGCAGTGTGCAGGGGTGATGCTGGATCTAGGACTCAGTGTCAAAGTTAGTTTTCCACTTCCATAAATACATTTTCAGGGGAATTAGCATGCACAAACACACACATGTACATGCAACTTACCCAAAATTCTGTTCCTGACTTTGAATGATCTATCTACCTACTAGATCTGTCTGTCTGTCTGTCTCTCTATCATCTCTCTATCCTATCTATCATCTATCATCACCTTTTTTGGTATTTATTGACCATGAATTTTCACAGAAAGTGTTCTTTTGCAGCAGAAAGATGGAAGCCAATCAGTAGCTACTTGTGCAGGAAATAGTTAACCAATAGTTTTAATTATTGTTTCTCTTCCCCTCCCCCCTTCTTATCTTGCCCTGTTTTGGCCCATGGTCAAGAGAATTAAACTAATTAAGAGACAACAAGCCATAAAAAATGGACAAGTATTGAGAGAGGGAGGGAAACTTACTGCTGGGTTCACACAATTTACTTAACAGGTAATGAACCGGTTTTTGCTCATCATGGCAAGCTTGGCTAGTGTTCATCTTCATGTTTTTAGTGAATTAGCTTTGGCCCCTTTGGTTGGGTTAAGATTCATTGTATTGTGCTAACCCAGAAAATGGGTTAATTCAGTAATTAAGTTGAGTGTATAGTACAATGCCATCCAATTTTTGATTCAAGGCAGTTGGATATTTTCAGAGGACATTCATACGATAGACACACACAGTGAATGTAGATGGAAAGAAAGAAAATGTCAAAGAACCAAATCCAATGTAATTATTATTAATTGCACTTCTAAGATGCTTTTCTTCTAATTGCTAAAGTGAGCATACTTCTCTTTATCTTCATAAGAACATTGTAAAGTAGGTGAGGCTGAAAATATTTTCTGCAGTGAGCTAAGAGGGGGTTTGAACCTCTTCAGTTTTTCCATTCTGTCCCTCACCACCAGAATCCTATGGCCCCTCATGAAGGTAAATGTTTCTGTTGATCTATTTTAAAGGGTCTTTGTGAAGACTTTCTCAACCTAGTAACTCTCCAGATGTTTGGGGATTACAATTTGCAGAAATTCTGGGATTGGTCATACCAACACTTCTGGAGGGTACCAGATAGGAGAAATTTGTATCATATTTGGAGATAGGTTGCCCATTGCAACAAACTAGGAATGTAAGCAATATTTCAGCAAAAAAGAAATAACTGAATACTGGCATTGCAAAGATCCATTTATGCCACCTGCTCAGTATAAGAATTCATACTGAAAATTTGACTGTCCAGCCTTCACTTGAACACCTCCAGCAAAGCAAAGCCCATCACCTCCTTTTGTAATTGATTCCACTGACAAACTGATTTATTAGGAAAATCTTCCCAACATTCAACTGGATTCAACTTTCCTGTAATTTGAGGCCATTATTCCTTGTCCTGCAATCCAGGACAATAGAGAACAGCTCTTGAACTTCTCCTGTGTGACCTCCTCTCCAGCTATTTAAGGAGCACAGTGACAGCCCTCTTCAATCATTTTTTCTCAAGATTCAACATATCCAGTCCCTTTTCCCCATAAGGCTTAGTTTCCAGTCCTCTGGTTGCCCTTATCTGTCCCTATTTCAGTTTATCTGAATCAGAAAATGCTTAGGAGAAAAACAAAACCTATTTCCATATAATATTGTCAAGAGATGGTCTTCAAGGACTCACTTTTAAAAAAGAAAAGGATGACTATGTCACTGTTTTATGTCAATTTCAAAACTATGCTTGGCTAAGTGGACTTCCAGAGGAGGCATGGTGAACTGAAGATGTCTCCGCAAAAGTGGAGCTGACAATTGCAGCCCAGACCAAAGAACCAGTGAATAGACTGGGTCTTCAGAACCTCTCTGGATAAGGAGAGGATGTGAGATCACCCACATGTGCTCCAGATGGCTGGTCTTTGTGAGGAGACCACAGGACAGAGGTCTTCCATGGGTTTGAGTTTTGGGAGATGAAGAGTTTAGCTATCTTGTTTGCAACCACAATGGAGCCTTTTAAAAGACACTACGTTCGCAAGCCTCACTTTCTAATCACTTTCAGGAATTGCCTATTAACCATCTTAAAGCTATCAGAGACCTTCAGAACAAGAAGTCTGAAATGTCACTGGGTGAGTTTAGCTTCAACTGTGAACAAAAGAAAAATTAATTACAAGCTTAAGAACTTAAAGAATTTGAAATAAACAGCAAAAAGCTTAGATTTTGATCTAAGAAAGTTACAAATGGACTAAGGGCT